CCAGCCCTAACCTTAACCCCTACCCAGCCCTAACCTTAACCCCTACCCAGCCCTAACCTTAACCAAACAAAATACGAAATACAAGGCATTTTTAGGTTTTTGGTTGCAGTCACAGATTTTTATGAAATTGAATTTCCCCTTGTGGGGACCGAAAAAATGGTCAAAATAATAGGTTTTTATCACATTGTGGGGACATTTTTGTATATCTGACCCCCCCCCCGCCACACACTCACACGCATACCAGTGATCCCGTCCTGGTTGGCTATGGATGCACAGACAGGTGATATTTGCAGTGGAGGGGGTACGCACCTCGACAGGCTGGCTCTGTCTCGTTCCACAGAGGGCCGTTGGGGGCCACACACTCGATGGTGACGGAGCCCTGCTCCAGGGTGTACCCGGCGTCGCAGGAGAACTCTACCACGGCGCCCACGGCGAAGGTCGGGTCACTGCTGCTGAAGTTCCCGTGCTTGATGAAGGGCTCGTAGCAGTTCTCCTGGGCGAAGGCTGGGGGGCGATAGTGAGCCAACAGGAGGTCTAAGGCTGATTTGTGAAAATAACCTTCTAAAACCACTCTGCAGGTGGTACCTTGATTTGACTCAAGTATTACTACCCAGGGGTTACTCTTGTGTTACCCAGTTTTTACTTTGGGATTGTTACTCAGGTACTATTGTGAGTGGCCATACAACCTGCCGTTCAGACTAGATAATAAAATAAAACATAACATCCATTTGTATTGATCAGGGGTTACTCTAGGGCTAACCAGTTTTTACTTAAGGGTAACTCTAGTTATATCCAATTTTTACTCAGGTGATACCCAATTTTTACTCGGGTATTATTACCCTGGGATTACTCCCATGCTAAACAGTTTTTACTTAAGGGTTACTCTGGTGATACCCAATTTTTACTCAGGGATTACTCAGGTGATACCCAATTTTTACTCGGGTTCTATTACCCAGGAATTACACCCATGCTACCTAGTTTTTACTCAGGGGTTACTCTGGTCCTACCTAGTTTTTACTTTGGGATTATTACTCAGGTGTTACTCAGTCATTACTTAGTGTCTTCTCTCAAACATTGTCAGTCTAAATCCCCTTGACAGTTTTAGTAACAAAATGACTGATTGCCTGCAGTAGTATCAGTACTGGGTGCACATATGAACTGAAAACCAGGGGTCGATATTTCTGTAGATCAGCCTATGGAGTCCTTTCGGCCGACCACTTCGTGTGGATTAGGAAGGGACTGGATCTGGATTATGAGGGAGGTTTATACCTCTGGGAGTAAATATTAACACAAGCAGGGCAAAGGGAATCATCTGGCATTTGCGGAGGATTACAGTGTCGGCTCAGGGGTGCCTTTAAAAACGTCGACAAACAGGCACCTCAATTCAGCCAAGGGAGAGTTTTGGCGAGATAATGAACTGGAGGGACTTACTGTTCTCCACTTATCATTGTTATAATGATGAATCAGTTTAGTGCTTTAAGCTAGACGCTACAACTTTTGTTGGTTGTTGAGTTTGTCTTTTCACATTTCGGAGAGGAAACGAGCAAGGTAGCATCTGACAGTGTCTGGGTGCACTGGGGCGTGGATTTCCATCAAGGGGGCAGTGATCAAAGGGGGAGGGGGCGGCGGTCTCATCCGTGGCTGCTCCCGCTGGTGATGAGAAGTGGCCAGAAATGGAAACGCTCTTTGTGCATGTGTGTGTGTGTGTAGGGGGGTGTTAGCTGAACAGCTTAGGATCAGACATACTCTGTCGTCTTTTCCAGAGGAGCACTTTCAGAAACAGACTGAGACAGTCGCTCTGATCCAAGGAGAGCTAGATAAGGTCGTTCCAGCCATTAGACTGTACTGGGGGGGGGCAGCCACTACCTGAATGGACCAGAACTGCTTACACACTTTCACTCCTTCACTGTACAACCTGCAGGGCAAAACTATTAATTTCTGAGCTGTTACTATGGAATTCCCTGCAATACTTGCCCAGACATTCCTTGCAGTATTCTTTGTAAATGTTTATTGTTGTCTATTCTATCTAATCTATCTATCTATCTATCTATCTATCTATCTATCTATCTATCTATCTATCTATCTATCTATCTATCTATCTATCACAAACTGCCAGCAAGTCTTAATAGGGCT